TTTGGGGACTTTATCACGGAGCACTGCTTTTCAGCATACTGCATTGCAGCCATGTTTGATTCCATCCAAGCAGCTGCAGTGTCCTTACTCGTGAAATCATGAATCGCTTTGATGAAAAATGATTTCCATTTTGAAGACCAGTGAGATGGCAGACTTTCTGCGAACATTATCAGGGCTTGGGAGTCTCTCATCAGTATCTGGAATGTAGTAGCATAGTCACACGGGCCTTTGCATTTTTGAGGACAGAGTCTCTGGAAAACCATCTCATTGATTTGATACCAGAAAACACCAGCCATCATGGGTAAAGCTTTTTTTACATTGCATTGCTTTGATGCAGTGCAAGCTGGTGCAAGGTCCTGTTCGTAAAAGAACTTTTTTTCATCGTCACTGCAGTCTCTACCTTCACATCCATTAGGAAACAAATACTTAMTTTTGGGACATACGAGACTATTGGGGCATATGCTTTGTATGGTAAGACCAGCCGCAAAATAGAATTCATCAGCATAAATCAAACCTTTGCAAAAACTGTTCTTTTTTATTTCATCCTTAAAATAAATGCTAGATTCCAATTTGTCGTAAAAACCATTTAATCTGATGTAATTGTTCATCATCAATTTGGAGCTTTCTATGCCAGTGTATTCCTCAAAACGGTCTAGCTCATCCCTTGCGCGAATCATCTTACGGAGCAAGTTCAGTTCGTGTCGACTTCCTGCAAGCAATGGGGAATCAAAAAATTTCCTGGCGGATATCTTCAGATCTTTCACTGCATTGATAAACTTCTCGAGGCCTTTAGCTTGATCGACGTCAGAATGAATTGCTCGAAGCGCAGAGTATATCGCATATTTATCCTTTAGTAGGTTCGTCAGCGTTATAGTTGAGGTTGCAAACTGTAGACCAAATGCCAGAAAGCAAAGAATCACTTGGATTCTCACAAAAGTACCCATAGCTGTCAAATTCAATTTACTGAAATAAAGAATTGAAAGATTTTATATTACTTTTCTAATTCAACATGAATATTTTAACATTTAATGATCTCATTGTACACAGTCATATTTATGTTCAAAGTAAAGATTCTTCTGTGTAGAGTTTATTGTTGAAACCTGGCTTTTTAACTCGAAGATTGCAAAGCAATCGAAGATAGAGTTATTGGAGGGGAACGAATCTGTAACTCATGAAGTCATTCATTCACTCAATCACACACTCACTCACTTTCCTGTAAACTTGAAACTACGTTACTTATCCTTTTTGTATTCAAACTCTATGCCCAATAGAATATATTAAGACAATTTATTATGATAGATCAAGTAAATCTTATAAGGTTGTATTTTGATAATGTATATACTCAGTAGACTTCTTTTAATAGAAAGAAAAATGATTTTACATAACATTTCACATGGATGAAAAGACATTCATTTCGTTGTATCAGAAGTATCAGGATAGCGAAGGGGTGGTTTACGTGTAGATACTTGTGAGGGGAGGGGTAGGCTGATTTCTGCAAAGATACATCCCAAGAAGCATACATCGTGAAGAAATMGAAGGATAGGTACTCTATATCAACAAATGGATAAACAAAATTGAAACTTCTTTCTCCATAATTGCCGATTGTCGATGTTACACACTTGTTTGTCGTTTCTGGCTAATGAATGTTCATTTGGAATGAATGATTGTATTATATAGAGGCGATTGATTGTGCTTCTCTATGGAAATGTTATTATTGAAATGTCTCTTATGCACCATTGGTTGTCAATCGATGTAATTGATTGTATCTTGGTGTTGAAGATTATTCATTCCGCGAGATTGAATGTACATTCGTTATCGTTGATTGTCCAAAGATGCAATTGTTTATCTGCTAGTTCCATTGAATGTCACTGCATATGTAAATCACAAGTAATTGAATGTTTCTTGGCGTTAATTGAAACATAAGATAATGCTAATGGATGTATTTTCTCTCTGTTGTTTTTACTGCTGCTGTAAATGAATGTATATTTTGCTCAAATGAAGTAATAATAATTTGATTCACCATATCGTTCCGTATTCTTGGTTTGCAGGTTACGTCACATCGGCCATCTTGGAGGAACTTTAACAAAGGATTTCTCATTAGTATCTATTGTTCATTCCTCMAACATKGCCGCCGGTCTTTTATCTTTTGAATCTCATGGGAATGAGTGAAAATAATCAATTCTTCTACACAATCAATCTTCGAGTTGTGTTGCCATTGGCGGCATGATTTGCAACACGCAGCTATTAACGGCAAAGCGCTCGAGGAAACTAGCAATATTAAAGGAAGAATCGCAATGGCACCAAAGGTGGTTGGCGAGTCTATAGGAGAAGCCTATAAGGACTTGAAACATGTAACGCCGTGCCAAGCGTTGGAATATTCAAACCTAATTTGCATCCATTTCCTTATTTGACCTTATTTGGGAAAAATTACATTTACCCTAGCCAACCAGAACGGGCCTTAAATCTCTTATCGAACGCCCGAATTTTCCAAATATGGTCAAAACGCTCGTTTTCGATTTTTTAATGAGCTTTGAATATTCCGACGCTTGGTACTAAGGAAATGTACGGGCGCTACACGTTTCAAGTCCCTTATAGGTTTCTGGCTATACTAGTCATAAAAATAAAAATAATAACAGCAACACTGTTTTGTCAAATGGGGAGAATGGTAGAACTCTACCCGATTGTCATTTATGTTCAGTTGCTTTAAATGTGATTATTTCACATTATCAGCCTAATTCATTGTAAAAAGTGCACTGTTTATTGTAAGTTTCCTCTAGCGCTTTGCCGTTAGCTTCGTTTTAGACTTCCAAACCTTCTACGGCACTTCTTGATTTTCAATACATTGTGGGATCAGTTTGTAGAAACAAAAGAAATCCGCCAGTGTTCTGTCCCAAACATATCCTACAATGCATTGCGTATACGGTATACATTACGTAAAAGCTTCGGAAGTCTATTGTCATTACGCAGGGTTTAATTTTCAATATCCAAGGACTCCAATTACAAAGAGAAAAATACAGTTAGTAAACGCAGTCAATGTTTCTAAGAATTTTTTCTTTTGGAGAAGATTTCCCTCAATCTCTATTAATTTCTTGGCCGCCATATTGTACAATAGTACAGCAAGTATCGCAAAAAGGATTGAATACTTGTCATTTTGCTTTAAAGCTTGGCTAATAATTGATCCCCAAAACAATACTTTAGAACAACCAAGATGATTCAAGGAATAAACTATCATTTTCAAGGGCCTTTCCTCCAAATTCAAGGACTTTTCAAGGAAAATTTGCAGTCAAGGAGTTTTCAAGGACCTAGTCCAAAAATCAATGACTTTTTAAGACTGTACGAACCAGCGGCGGATTTAGGGGTGGGCCGAAGGGGCCGCGGTTCCCCCTTTTTCTTGAAAAAAACTTACAAGATCCTTGTCAATATCACTGAAAATGCTGGAAATCGCATTTTTGACGGTTTAAATTTCAAAATTTTTCGGGCGAGCATGCTCCCGGACCCCCTATATATTCACGCCTTCGGCGGTCGACGCGACGCAAAACCATTTTTAAGTAACCGGCCTCCTCTTTCTAAATATTCTGGATCCGCCCCTACGAGCCCTGTTACGTGTACTTACAACCTTAACAATGGCCGCTTAGGCAGAAAGCTCGGTTTCAACAATAAACTATCTACGAGAAGAATATTTCAATTTGAACACTTTTATATGTGTTAAAAATACACACAGATTAAATAGTGCTCGCGCTTTACGAAATCGCCACCATGTTGGATGAAAGCCTTTATATTTCTCTTGGTCATTCATCCAACATGACAGCGATGTGCTATGTTGTTCCTTTTACGCAGTGAAACCTTGTTTATGTCATGGTTTCAATAAAAATAATGTGTAGAACTGAATCTAAATTTCAAAGTTCATCTTCACATCAAGGGTCTTGAATGTTTTAGTGACTTTGTCTCGATTTTCTTTTCTGTTGCTATTCCACAAAAATCTGCATGACGGTGTCCTCTCCGATAGGTACATTTGCGAAAGAATTCACGAATTATAACATTTATCTTTCATTTCTTTTACTTCTATTTATTTAGTGGACAAAACTAACCGAGAAAAAGCAGTACAACCATTGAGTACTCACCGCTCTCAATTTGTTTCCCTAAGTCAAATTCTGCTTCTCTTTAGTTTCGTATGCTCTCTCCAGTGAAAAATTAAAATGAGTTCGCTATAGCCTGTCCTACACATATATCTTCTAAATTTCCTATTGTTTTCATAGGCAGCCAATTAAATTTGAGCAAGAAACAAAATTTGGTGTTAACGAGGCCTTGTTGGTGGATAACAAATCTATACTTCATCAAAATTCATTGTCTATAAACCTTGCTGCACCTGAAAGGGACTCAATCCTTAATGAGGCAAACAATAGCACTTAGTATAAGAAATCTTTTATGAAAAAATTAGGTAGGACTGATAATAACAGTTATTATATAGCTTGCTCGGCCACACGATTTCATTGGCTAAAAAGCGGGGCATACTTTCCCGTACGGACCAGATGAAACGAGAAAAAACCTTTTTTATCTTAAAAAGGCTCACTTTCTCTCATTTTGTAGTTGTACTGTATAAAAAAGCGTCAAAAATGAATCCAAATTCTGCCATCAAGGTTTCTCAGGCTTTTCTTTTTTCCTTCTATTTTGAATGACAAGAAAACATTGGAAAAAATCGCGCGCTTTAAAGGTTGTAAATTTGATGTAAATATGATGTAGTAAAGTGTCCAAAATTCTGTAAATTTAAATTTAATTAAATCCTTAATGAGGCGAACAATAGCACTTAGTACAAGAAATCTTTTATGAAAAAATTAGGTAGGACTGATAATAGCAATTCCTACAAAAAATCCTTTGAGCGGCCTTCAATGAAATAGATTTATATCAGATATCAATCTATTTCATTGATTCTCTTGATGAAGCAAAATCAGTAACGGTAGAGGAAAATTCAGGAGCTGAAAATTATACTTGAGGGCGGGATACAGATTGTTCATTATTTTTAAGATTTTAGGCTACGAATTTGTGAGTAAACCCATACACAGTTTCTGAATATTAATTTACATTTATCCACTTTAGTTGGAAAAGTTACAAATCAAGAATATCTACAAATACTATACGGTTTTACAAGGATACCAACACACCAATTTAAATAGTATTATACATCACATATATGTCAGCTCTTTTGAAATGCCCTGCCCGAGGATTGTCAGCGCTTTGGTCCGTTTTAAATCCGTTTCACCTCGACACTTTTACGAAAACCGATAAGATTGAAGCGCTCAAAGAAATAGTCCTATGGTGTAGAAAGTGTCTACAAGAGGCAGGACGAGAAACAGTTTAAACCTTCAGTTTCTGACTGAATGCCCAAAATGCTGTGGTTGCCGTGTTAAGTAGTCGTTTTCATTTTGTAAACGGCATACTGTATTTCTCTTGAAAATAGTGAAGTTGTCCTTCAGTAGCATGTTTTGTGAGAGTATGAAGAGAAATAGTCCATACGCTATTATGGTTGTTGCTTTAATTTTGCTCGAGCTTTCGCTGGATACCAGAATCTTTAGTTGACGATCGCCTGATATGCTGGTGTTCAGCGAAAGCTCGAGCAAAATTTAAGGAACGAACCACAGTAGCGTATGGTCTATTTCTCTTCATACTCTGTATTTCTCTTGTTTCGCATGATTCTAACTGTTAAACAATGTTTTCATTTACTCGTAAATCAGTGAATGTTCAAACACTCTCAGGCTATTAAAGGTTTTGAATGATAAGCTTTCTCTTCTTGTCGTGTGTATATCTGTTTGATGAAAACATCGGACTTTCGTAGAATGAAGCTAGATTAATGATGTTGATTTGCCGGGCCTGGAAAGACAAAGATATCTTTTAACTATATGTTCATCGCGCTCCTTCGTTTTTTTTTCCCGCCAAAAATATCAGACCACGCGTGCGTGCACATTTTCCCGCCATTTGAGTCGCTTTTGCCGTCAATAGATATAACGTGAAGTACTCACTCTGTCAATAAATTCATCTTCCTGTATATCAATGACATCAGGTTCACTTTGGTGTCTACTTCGATAATAAGATATCTGTTCTTTAACTAACTGCTTAAGAACGAAGAGAAGTAATTCGTTGTTGTCGCGCCTAAACGCGAGGTAGTGTGAAAACGCCTGGAACAGAAAAATCATAGATATTTAAGCTTAATGTAGAAATATATACCAAAAAATAAATACATACACACACATTTTAAACAAAACCGTTGGCAAACATGTAAACTAGCGAACTTAACAACGTTCTTACAAAGGAAATATTAAAAAAAGCAGAACGAGCAAAACTGAATGAAAATAAAAACATGAACATCCTAGGCATCAAATGGTGTGTACTGTATTTAAGAAATATAAAACGGCGTACGTGTTTATATGAGAGGACAGAGAACAAGTGGCCGTTTTATATTTCTTTGATAAAATGTTTCTGCGTTTTTCAAGCGAAAAACAAATTTCGCCGGTAAGCCGTGTCTCTGTCCTCTGATATTAACAGGGTCGTCAGCTAATCAGAGCTCGCGTTATATATTTAAGAAATATAAAACGGCGCGCGTGTCTCTGTCCTCTGATATAAACACGGTGGGAGTTCGAAAAACACGAGAGAAGCAAGCTTAGGAACACGAGCGTAGCGAGTGTTTCTCTTGCTTCTCGAGTGTTTTTCAACTCCCACCGTGTTTATATCAGATGACAGAGACACAAGCAGCCGTTTTATATTTCTTTTATAAAATTTTTCGAGCGAAAAGAACATTTTGCCGGTAAGCCGTGTCTCTGTCTTCTGATATAAACACGGTCGTCAGCCAATCAGAGCGCGAGTTATATATCAAAAATTTTATAACAAACAATTTAATAAAGTTCAATAAACAATATATTAATACCTTTTTCATGCTTCTCATTACAGAAAACTTTTGTGTATCAATAAAGCTTTCTAGCATGACTCTTATAGCCATGTTGACATCGTCTTCCATAACATATTCTCTCAAATGCATCTTGGCGTGAGACTCAGCCATACGAATCATTGATTCAATATGGCGGACCGTGATAGGAATTGAACCAGTCGCCATTGACTCTTTTCTGAGATCAGCAAACATTCTGGCTACTTTGTCTTGATCCATGTTGTGCAACTTTGGATGCACGCGCTCCTTGGCATAAATGATGTACTTCTTCAAGAGATCTTGTGGAATCTTGTCGCCATCGGCCTCTTCTTCGTCCTAGAGTAAAGATAAACACTTTAAAATCCCTTTTCCTCTTGATGTATGGTGATGATAAACTGCAAATCATGTTTCGTTACACAATGTTTCATTATTGTCTTTGTTTTATGGTTGTGAACTCAACAACGTTTATTAACAAATGTCATGTATAAGTTACCTGCATTTCTTCGTCATCAGGTTCTGTTTGATTGTTTGGATGATGTTTGACATGGCTGTTCACAACAAAACGAGCCAACATTTCATCCTAAAAATCATGTAAAAAAGTAAATGAGTATTAAATGGCTTAAAGATTGAACTCAAACTTTCATCAGCGGTCAAAAAAAAAAGACGTTTACTCTCTTTGAAACTACATGTAAAGGAAAGTTAGAGAAAATGAGAGAATGTGAATACAGATTAATTCTTTGCTTACCTGGATTGCATCTACCTGATCTCTTACGACACAAAGGATGTCAAAACGTGACAAAATAGGTTCTGTCAAATCAACCTATATAATGGCAAAATATGCAATACTTGATGTGACAAATAGCCCATTTTTTTATAAATTACTTGTCTAAGCAAACACTAAAGAATTAAAGCCAAGGCTCTGAAGAAACAATTTATTTTATTCTTCAGAGTCTTCGCTTTTTGCTAATAAACTAAAGACCCTTTTCCCATAACTTCATAGCAGATGAAAAAAAAAAAAAAAAAATAGCAGATGAATTTACACTTACATTCTCTGCAAAGGTCAAAGAAGGATCATATCGTCCACCAATCGGATTTGCTGCAGCAAGGACACTGCATCTTGCTTGTAAAGATGTCACAATACCAGCCTTTGAAATGGAGATACTTTGCTGTTCCATGGCTTCATGAATACTTGTCCTGTCTGCATCGTTCATCTGAAATAATAACAGACTTAGTAAAATCTCTTAAA